GACGCATTGATGCGGCACGATGCACAATCGCAGTGTCAAACACACAACTTCCAACACATGATCTGGCACTGCCTTCTCATTCCCCTCCCACTCCGATAACGACTGGAAACGTACGCGCGCTCTTGGAACTTTTGGGATGCCTACGGGAAATGATGCCTACGGGAAATGACCAAACACGCCCCACAAAAAAAGCTCTGAAAGAGCGCGCCCGCAGCGCCGGGAATACGGAAAGGGGGGCCCCAGCTTCAAGCTACCTCCCCCCCCCTTCCGAACTTCCAAAAGGGGGGAGCTTTCGAAGCTTACCCCCCGCCCCTCCTTTCTGTAAGGAGCAGAAGGTGAGCCCCGGCTTCCCTTTCAAAGGGGGCGGGGGGCTTCGGAAGCTACCCCGCCCCTCCTTCCTTTTTCGGGCTGGACACAGGGGGGGACGGCTTCAAGCTACCCCCCTCCCCCTCCTTTGGAAGGGGGGGTCCGAAGCTACCCCCCCCCGCTCCCTTCCGGGGCTCTGGCAAAATGGCGAAAGCCCTTACAACAAGTGCGCACCGCAGCGCTAGAGAACGCATTGGAAAATAACGTCGACCCCTGGTTCGTTTTCTTATGTTCTTGTTTTCTCTGGCCCTGGTTCGTTTTCTCGTTTTTTACGGGCCCTGCTTCGTTTTTTTCGTTTTCTCGTTTTCTCGGCCCCTGGGTCGTGGCTTTGTTTGCTTGGAACCTTGTTAGTATGCTCGTTGTCTCGGCCACCGGGTGGTGGTCTCGTTTTCTCTGATCCTGCTTCGTTTTCTCGTTTCCTCGTTTTGTCGGCTCCTGGGTCGTGGTCTCGTTTTCTCAAACCGAGCGTTTCTGGTGATCTCGGCCCTTGGGTCGTGGTTTCCTCAGACCATGGTTCGCTTTCTCCTTTTCTCGTTTTCTCGGCCCTGGGTCGTGGGTCCTTTCCGCGTCTTCTCATTTCCTCGGCCCCTGGCTCGTGGTCTCGTTTTCTCGGGGCCTGGCTCGTTTCGTTTTTTTTGGGGGGGGTTCTCGGCCCCTAGGTGGTCTTGTTTTCTCTGTTCCAGTTCATTGTTTCGCTTTCTTCTTTTCTCGGCCCCTGGTTCGTAGTCTCATTTTCCCGGGCCCTAATTCCTTTTTATCGATTTCTTTACTTTTCTCGGCCCCTGGGTCATGGTCGTGTTTTCTCGGACCCTGGTTCGTTTTCGCGTTTTCTGTGCCCTTGGGGCGTGGTCTCGTTTGCTCGGACTTTGGTTCGTTTTCTCGTGTTCTCGTGTTCTCGTCCCCTGGGTCGTGACATCGTTTTCTTAGACCCTGGTTCGTTGTTTCATTTCCTCGTTTTCTCTGGTTTTGTGTTTTGTGTTGTGTTTGTCGAGCCCTGGTTCGTGATCTCGTTTCCTTGTTTTCATGGTTCCTGGGTCGTGGTGTCATTTTTCCTCGGGCCCTTGATAGTTGTCTCGTTTTCTCGTGTTCTCGGCGCCTGGGTTGTGGTCTCGTTTTCTCTGACCCTGGTTCGCTTTTTCTTTTCTCGGCCCCTGGATCGTGGTCCCGTATTCTCGGACCCTGGTTCGGTTTCTCGTGTTCTCCGTTTCTCGGCCCCTGGATTGTGGTTTTGTTTTCTCTGACCCCGGCTCGTTTTCTCGTTTTCTCGGCCCCTGGGTCGTGGTCTCGTTTTCTCGGGCTCCGGTGTGTTTCTCGGTTTCTCGTTTGTCTCGACCCCTGGGTCGTGGCCTCGGCTTCTCAGGCCCTGGTTCGTTTTCTCGTTTTCCCGTTTTCTCGGCCCCTTGGTTTTGTATCGTTTTCTCTGCCCCTGGTTCGCTGTCTTGTTTACTCGTTTTCTCGGCCCCTGGGTCGTGGTCTCGTTTTCTCGCACTCTGATTCGTTGTCTTGTTTTCTTGTTTTATCGTCCCCTCGGTCGTGGCCTTGTTTTCTCGGACCCTGGTTCGTCGTCTCGTTTTCTTGTTTTCACGGCCCCTGGGTCGTGGTCCAGTTTTCTCTGACCATCGTTTGATTTATTGTTCTCGCGTTTTCTCTGCCCTTTGGTGGTGGTCTCGTTTTCTCGGACACCATTTCGTTTTCTCGTTTTCTCGACTTCTCGGCTCCTGGGTCGTGGTCTCGTTTTCTGGGGCCCTGGTTCGTTTTCTGGCTTTCTCTGCCCCTGGGTCGTGGTTCAGTTTTCTCGGGCCATGGTTCCTTTTCTCGTTTTCTCGTTTTCTCGGCCCCTGGTTCGTTGTCTCGTTTTCTCTGCCCCTGGGTCGTGGTCTCGTTTTCTCTAACCCTGGTTCGTGTTCTCGTTTCTTGCTTTCTCGGCGCCTGGGTCGTGGTCAAGTTGTCTCGGACCCTGGTTAGTTCTCTCGTGTTCTTGTTTTCTCTGCCCATGGGTCGTGGTCCAATTTTCTCGGGCCATGGTTAGTTTTCTCGTTTTCTCGGCCCCTGGTTCGTAGTCTCGTTTTCTCAGGCCCTGATTTCTTTTATCGTTATCTCGTTTTCTCGGCCCCTGTGTCATGGTCTCGTTTTCTAAGACCGCTATTCGCGTTTTCTCGCCCTGGGTCGTGGTCTGGTTTGCTCGGACTTTGGGTTGTTTTTTTGTTTTCTCGTGCTCTCGGCCCCTGGGTCGTTATCTCGTGTTCTCGGACCCGGGTTCATTGTCTCGTTTTCTCGTTTCTCGGCTTTGGGTGTTTGGTTCGATTTCTCGGGCCCTGGTTCGTTGTCTCGGTTTCTCGTTTTCTCTGCCCTTGGGTTGTGTTCTCGCTTTCTCGGGCCCTGGTTCGTTTTCTCGTTGTCTCGTTGTCTCGGCCCCTGGGTCGTGGTTTCGTTTTCTCGGGCACTGGTTTGTTTTCTCGTTGTCTCGTTTGGTCGGCCTCTGGGTCGTGGTCTCGTTTTATCGGACCCTGGTTCGTTTTCGGGTTTCCTCTGCCCGTGGGTCGTGGTCTCGTTTTCTCGGCCCCTGGGTCGTTTTTTTTGGACCCTGGTTCGTTGTCTCGTGTTCTCCGCCCCTGGGTCGTGGTCTCGTTTTCTCGGACCCTGTTTCGTTTCCTCGTTTTCTGAGCCCCTGGGTCGTGGTCTCGTTTTCTCTGACCCTGGGTCGTCGTCGTCGTCGGTCGTCGGTCGCGCGTCGTCCGTCGTCTGTCGCCGTCTTCGCATCACCTCGTCCTCGTCGTGACGACCACGACGAGGTCATGCGAAGACGGCAACGGCGGCGACAACGACGACGAGGACGACGACGGCGTCGTACGAAGACGTCGATCGACGGCGACGGCAGCGACGACGGCGACGGGGGAGGATCTTCCTGCAGGGGGAGTTCAAGGGAGGGGGGTGGTAGCTAAGCCGCCCCTTCCCTTTTGGAAAAAAGGGAGGGGAGGGGAGTTTCCGACAGGGTTCCCGCAGAGAGGGGTCAAAGGAGGGGGGGGGATAGCTAAGCACCCCTTCCCTTTCGTAAGGGGGGGAGGGGGGGTAGCTTCCCGGGTGCCGAAAGGGGTGGAGGGGGGGGTAGCTTCCAAAGGGGGGTCCAGGGCAGGGGGGGGGGGCTAAGCTTCCGGAAAGGGGGGAGGGGGGGGGTAGCCAAGCTTCCCCTCCCTTTCGTAAGGGGGGGGGAGGGGGGGTAGCTTCTCCTGTGCCGAAAGGGGGGGAGGAGGGGGGGGGTCTGCTAAGCCCCCCCCCGTTTCGGGGGGTAGTTTCGGCAGTGGGGGGTCAAGGGGAGGAGGGGGGAGCTAAACTCCCCCTCCCTTTCGTAAGGGGGGGTAGCTTCCCTGGTGCCGAAAGGAGTGGATGGGGGGGGGCTGCTAAGCCACCCTCTCCTTTTGGAACCAAAGGGGGGAAAGGGGGCCGGTGGCTTCCGGCAGAGGGGGGTCAAGGGGAGGGGGGGGTAGCTAAGCCCCCCCTTTCCCTTTAGAAAGGGGGGGAGGGGGGGGTGCGAAAAAGGGGGGGGGGAGAGCTTCCAACAGGGGAGGTGGAAGGGAGGGGGAGGTGTAGCTAAGGGGGACCCCCCCTTTGCTCAAGCGCTATGGGCGCGCTCTCTCAAAGCTCTTCGCATCTCCTCGCTTTCCACACCCCTCTTTATCTTGCTCCTTCTCACCCCTCATACTTGTCCTTCCCCACTCCCATCCCCCCACCTTATACCTCCGAAAATAGCGGCTACCAGACGGGCAATCCTGCAAACCAACCAGTAGCGTCCCCGATACTTCTCGAAACGCCAGCTGGCCTCTTCCATCTCCTCCTCCTACCCATCCTCCCTCTCCTTCCTTCTCTCCTCCTCCTCCTCCTCCTCCTCCTCCTCCTCCTCCTCCTCCTATTCCTCCTCCTCCTCCTCCTCCTCCTCCTCCTCCTCCTCCTCCTCCTCCTCCTCCTCCTCCTCCTCCCCCCCCTCCCTCACCCCTCCCTCTGCATCCTTCTCCCTCCCCTTGCCGCTCCTCCTACTCAACTGCTCGTATGCCTCCTCCGTCTCGTCCCTCCAGTAGTCCAGTGGTCCAGTGCATTATGTGCACTAGTTTAGCCTGTGGAAGGCTCACATTGTAAGTAGTTCAGGTTCAATAGGGTACCTCCCAGATTATAGTCTAGCTTGTTTTCCACGAGTCACCTCGTCAGCCTGGACATGGACTCCACGAGGCTCAGCTCAGCTCAGCGCGCGCGCGGAGAGGGAAGAGGCCGCAGGAAGGCCCTTTCTCCTTCCCAACCGCCCATCCGCCTCCTGCCTCCTCTTCTCCCCCCCCCCCCTGCTCTCTCCTCCGTTGTCCCTCCTCCTGCCGTTTCTGCCGTTTCTCGCTGAGCCAGCGTCTGTTCCCTCCTCCTCCTCCTCCTCCTCCTCCTCCTCCTCCGCCTCCCTCCCTCCCTCCCTCCCTCCCTCCCTCCCTCCCTCCTTCCACCCCTCTCTCCATCCCTCCGTCCCTCCTCCCTCCTCCTTCCCTTCCTCCCTCTTCCTCCCATCCCTCTCTTCCTCCCCTCCCTTGCCCGCCCACCCTCCTTCCCTCCCTCCCTCCCTCCCTCCCTTGCCCGCCCACCCTCCCAACCCATCACGGAACTTGCGCACGTCAGACTTGGTGGTGACGCGCGCCTGGCCCGCACGATGGTGCTCAAGCGGGAGGGAGGAGGAGGGAAGGAGGAGGAGTAGCAGCAGTCGGAGGAGGAGGAGGAGGAGTGGAGTGGAGTGGAGTGGAGTGGAGTGGAGTGGAGTGGAGTGGAGTGGAGTGGAGTGGAGTGGAGTGGAGTGGAGTGGAGTGGAGGAGGAGGAGGAGGAGTGGAGTGGAAAGCCTCTCGCGCCAGAGCCTCCGACCATTGCGCGTCCAGGCGGGCAGGTCCGTTGCCACCAACGGCACCTGGAAAGCCAAGGGAATACATCAACAGAAGCCATCTGGAAAGGATGGGCCCAGAGGCAGTCCGCAGCTCAAATGCCGGGGATCTCGCCCTGGCCCTCAGCCCTCGCCACACGAACAGCGCGCGCAACGTACCACTGCAGACCAGCAGCCAGAGAGGGGGAACGAGAACTCCCCCGAAGCGGCGGGGAGAAGAAGGATGACCAGGAGGCAGCGAGGGCATGGAGAAGGCCCGCCCCCGCAGAGAGGGGCATCAGCAGCGCAGCTGGCCCGCGGCCCTGAGATCCTCCGCGGCGGCGAAGGCGGACAGGACGGCCAGGAAAATCCCACCGTCCGCTGCTGGGGTGGGATCGCGGCGAAACACGGTTCACTCTTTCTGCCCCAGCGCGAATACCCGGTAGCCGTGGGCCAGGCGAATACGGGAAACTCCCACAGCGGGCCCGCCACTCCACGGCTGCCGCGGCTGTTCCCGTCCGCCACTGGCGCTGCGGCTCAGGAAGGGCCCGAAGAGCCACCTCGCGCGTCCTCCGCCTCTCCCTCCCCCTCCTCCTCCTCCTCCTCCTCCTCCTCCTCCTCCTCCTCCTCCTCCTCCTCCTCGTTCTCCTCCTCGTTCTCCTCCTCCTCCTCCTCCTCCTCCTCCTCCTCCTCCTCCTCCTCCCCGCAGCGCGGACGTGCAACGCTCGGCCAGGCGGAGGACTCACTGGCCCCCGAGTCCCCAGCCCCTGCGGACAGAGGCTTCGCGCTCCCGAGGGCGCACGCTGGGAGCGCAGCAGCCGAAAACCCGAGTTGCCGAGGTGCGGCACCGAGGGAGGGGCGGAAGGGGGGGGCCAATTTGCCCCCTCCAGCGGGTCACCAAAACCCCAAGGCACCAACCACCGCAGATTGCGGTCACCTCCAGCAGGGCGGTAGCAGCCGAGACCAGCAGGGACGCGACCCCAGTGCTCAGATCCACCGCCAGCCCTAGGCGCACGGTGGCAGGGGTGGTCCCCAGAGCGGGCAGTGGGCAACAACAATCCCCCGAGCAGCGTTCGGGTCCCACTGCGGTGGCCAGACGGATCCCGAGAGAGCCCCAGCTTGGTCCTGCAGAGGGGTGGGTTGGTCAACGAGCCGCTCGTAGAGCGCGACCCGCAACCTTGAAAAAGCACGGCCCCCGCCCCCTCCAGCACCGCCTGCGCGACGGCTTGCATGGGCGGCCGCTGCGCGCGTGCGCGCGGGGGGGGTGGCGGCCCCTGTTGTCGGGTCGGGCGAAAGGGGGGGATAGCAAAGGGGGGGTTTGAGAATCAGCTCACGTAGCTGATTTTCCCGGCGCCTCCCGGCGCCGGAGGCGGCTATGTATCGAGGAATGGGCCCCTCGGTGAGGCCGAAACCAGCTGCATGCAGCAGATTTCGTAACCCCCCCTTTCCCAATCCCCCCCTTTCGCCCGACCCGATGTTGGAACATGTCGGGCGGTGTCAAGAAAGGCATGATGACGAGGAGGAATGGGTGGACGGGGGCGGAACAGTGGGGGGACGAGGACGGAGACGGGGCGGCAGGAGGCGCGGGGGCCGAGGGGCACGGGGAGCGGAATCGGCTGAAGGGGGGACGAGCAGCGGTAGCAGCAGCAGCAGCAGCAGCAACAGCAACACGATACGCTCGAGAGCGCCGCGGGAGGGAGGAGGGAGGGTGTGGAGAAAGGGAGAGGGGAGATGCTGGCTGGGGCGGGGCGGGGCGGGGGGAGGGACGAGCAGGGTGGATGGGTGTGTGGAGCGGGAGGAGCAAGGGAGGTTAAGGGAGGACGAGGACAAGGAGGAAAGGACGAGCGCGGAGGGCGGGAAATGAGAGACGAGAATGCCAGGAGGAAGAAAGCGGGAGGGGAAGGACGTTGCAGATAAGGGTAGAAAACGGCAATGCTACCATTGCCCTCCTTGCCCATATTACGTTTTCCGGATTGTTTCACACCAGATGGATGCAACTCACCTTGATCGACACGTACTCGAGACGAGGCGCGCGCAGCCCTGATGGAACATCCGAAGCCATGGTACACCACGTCATGTAGCAATTGATCATGTAAGCTTGCAGCACGCATTCGGCCCTGCGTGATTTGTTGTGCCAGGGAACGGCTTGTTACCTAAGCGCTAGTACCATTGCTCGCGGTGGGCTTACATCACCTGGGAGCCTGCATGTGACATATGCATTGGGGGTCAGCGGATCCCACTGACCCATCACCATGTTGTAACTCGGGGCATCGATGCGCACAAGCTATTACCAAGGTGGGAAATCTCGCGACAGACCAACACGTGGCTCCTGAATTTTAAACGCTGGAGCGCCTTGCGGGGATACCGTGGGAAATTTCTGTCTGGAAACCTGGGAACTGTAACATGCGATCCGTGTGCAGCGGCTCTGCCGCAATGCTGAAGGTCAACGCCTGCATCTCGAGCGAGACACTCCGAGCCACGGCAACACAGGCGACGCCCACAGAGGCGGCGGCAAGAAGCGGGCTGGGGCCTGAAGGAACCAACGGCCCGAACGGTACGGGGTGATCTGGCTGATGAGCGTCTTCTCCAGGGCCTGCCGCTGCACAGGGCGGGAGGAGGAGGAGAGGCAGGAGCACCAGCAGCAGCGGGGCAGCGACGACGTAGAGGGAATGGCGACGGGGAGGGAGACCAGGATAATGCCCATGATGATGTGTGCATTTCTTTCATGGGACTCGGGTAACGAACACGACCTTACTCAAACTGGCAGACTAACCCGGAGCGAACTGGATAGAGACCACAATCAAGGCAAGCTCAGGGCTTGAGAGCTGCGAGCGGCAGCGCCAGGAGCATCAGTAGCAGCATCAACAACAGCGGCTCTACAGGCACAACTGTCCGTCCTGTATGACTCACCCGTGCGTTGCTTGTGGATGTGCTACTGTTCATGCTGACTGGCCAACGCATGCTTCTTTCCGTCTGTCCGACTTTGTTTTGGTTTATGCTTATATACATGTGAGTGTGTGTGTGGGCGTGATCCACCGCCGCTTTGCTGTGGAAAATCCAATCCCTTTTCCTCTGGGGCCTGGGGGTCCCCCCCCTCCGAAAATCTCCCCCCCTGATCGACACCCCCTCCCCCTGCAAGAACCCCCCCCCCCCCCCCCCCGGAAACGGGGGGGGGGTCACTACCGGTTCGAACCCCCCCCCACCACTCGCCGCTGGCAAACGACTCCCAGGTCCCCACCACCGTCCTCACCACCGCTCTTACCACCTTTCCCAACGCCACCGTCCCCACGTCTGTCCCACTGTCCCCACTGTCCCCACCACTGTCCCGCTGTCCCCACTGTTCCCACCACTGTCCCCACTGTCCCCACCAGTGCCACCACCACTGTCGCACTTTCCCCCTGTCCCCACCACTGTCCCCACCAAGGTCCCACTCTTCCAACTGTCCCCACCACTGTCCCACTGTGTCCACTGTCCCCACCGCTGTCCCAATGTCCCCAGTGTCCCCTACCGCTGTCCCACTGTGCTGTCCCACTTTCCCAACTGTTCCCACCACTGTCCCACCGTCCCCGCTGTCCCCGCAACTGACTCCACTGTACCACTGTCCCATTATCCCACCACCGTCCTCACCACCCACATCACCACTGTCCCCACCACCACCGTCCTCACCACTGTCCCACCAACGCTGGTAACAAACGCAGTTTAAGTTTACACCGCGTCTTTCGGTAGTAACAAAATCATCCCAGTGCGACCCTACCTAGGAATTGGAGCATTCAAGAAAGCAACATCTACATCTAAACCGACAGCTACAGTTGTTGTGTTGTTGCTGCTGTTGCTTTGCCTTTGATTTGCCTTTGGTATGCTATCATATGATGTTATGCTATGCTGCGCTATGATATGCTATGCCATGCGTTGCTATACTACGCTATGCTGCACTGTGTTATGATATGCTATTTTAGGGTACGCTCGGTGGCGCTGTGTAATGCTAGGCGATGCTATTATATGCTATGCTGCGCTATGCTATGCTATCCTATAATATGCTGGTCTATGGTATGGTATGATATGCTATGCTATGCTATCATGGGCTATACTATACTATGCTATGCTAGGCTATGGTATGGTATGATATGCTGCGCAATGCTATGCTATGTTATGATATGATGTGTTATGCTGGGCTATGCCATGCTACGCTATGTCATGCTATGCTGTGCTATGATATGCTATGCTGCGCTGTGCTATGCTAAGTAATGTTATGACATGCCAGGCTATACTATGCTGCGCTAGGCTATGATATGCTATGCTATGCTATGCCGAGCCATGCTGTGCTATGCTTGGCTATGCTATGATATGATGTGCTAATGATGCGCTGCGCTATGCTGCGCTAAGCTAAGCTAAGGTAAGCTAAGCTATGCTAAGCAAAGCTAAGCTAGGCTAGTAAGCTAAGCTAATCTAAGCCAAGCCAAGCTCAGCTAAGTTAAGCTACGATGAGATAGGCTAAGCTAAGCTAAGCTAAGCTAGACTAGGCAAAGCTAAGCTAAGCTGAGCTAAGCTAAGCTTAGCTGGGCTAAGCTAAGCTAGGTAAGCTAAGCTAAGCTAGGGGAACCCAGGGGGCGCAACTGGGGGAACCGCGGGGCGGATACTGGGGGAACCGCCCGGGGCGGGCCCCACTGCCTGGCCCTTTAAGCTTACCGAGAAAGAACCCTTCTAGGCAGAGCCTAGGTAGGGAAAAAGAAACAACACGCGCTGACGCAATTCGTTCACCGTTCAGTTTTAAAACGCTGCCTGCTGAACCGATGTGGTCGTCGTTCAAAACAAAAAAACTTCAGAACAAAACGTGACCACGCGAACTTATAGCGAAAACGAAACAAAACAACACGCGCGGGTGCCCCCCCGAGCCCAAAGTGGGCCATGTCGAAAACAAAGGCATTTGACATGGCGTTCCCTTCAGCCTAAAGGGAATCGCGTCTAAATCCCGCAGATTCAACAAGACCATACACACATTCGTTTCACACCGCCTTCCTAACGGACGACATGTCAAAATCCCTTGGGTTCTGCAGAGCCGAACCCACATATTTTTAACATGGCCTTCCCTGCAGTCCAAAGGACACCATGCCAAAACCCCTTGGTTTCTGCAGGGCTAAACCTGAAGAGTTGTGGCATGGCCTTCCCTTCGCCCCAAACGAGGCCATGTCCAAACCCATTGGGTTCTACAAGCCAAGCCCAAGGATTTGTTACATGGCCGTCCCTGCAGCCCATAGGAAGTCATGACAAAATCCCTTGGGTTCTGCAGGGCCAAGCCCAAGGATTTTTGACGTGGCCTTCCCTTGAACCCATAGGAGGCCATGCCAACATTCCCAATGTTCGGCAGGGCCAACAAAACTTACAAAAATGTGTCATGGCCGTCCCTTCAACACAAAAGAGGCCATGTCAAAATCCTCCGGGCTGTGCAAGGCCAAACCCAAGGATGTTTGACATGGCGTCGCCAGCAGCAAAGGAACCCATGTTCAAGGATGCGTTACATGGCCTTCCCGCCAGCAAGAAGGAGGCCATGCCAAAATTCTTTGGGCTATGCAGTGCCAAACCCAAGGATTTGTTGCATGGATGTCCCTTCAGCCCAAACGGGGCCATGTCAAAGACTCTTTGGCTTTGCAGGGCCAGACCCAAATATTGTTGGCATGGCCTTCCCTTCAGCCCAAACAGAGGCCATGCCATTTTTTTTATGTCGACACGGGAGCCGCCTCCAAGAGGTATTCCGTGACCTGCGCACCCTGCCATTGCAGCGCCGTCGTTGTATGCTAGTTGTTTTCTTTGCAAAAAAAAGAGGCCATGCCGAAATTGCTTAGGTTCTGCAGGGCCGAAAGACCTAACGATGTTTGGCATGGCTACTCCAGATTTCGTAATAAAAGGGAGGGGGTCTGGACCCTCCAAGACAACCCATTTCAGACCCCCCCCGTGGGAGAACCCTCCAAAACATCGTCCCCAGACCCCCCCAGGCCCTCCAAGATAGCCTGGAAGAGACCCCCCCCGAAATGAGACCCCCTCCCTTTATTACGAAATCTGGAGTACCCATTCAGCCCAAAGGAGGCCATGTCCAAATCCATTATGGGCCCTGCAGAGCCGAACCCAAGGATGTTTTCGCACGGCCCTCCCACCGGCCCAAGGGAGGCCAAGTCAAAACGCATTGGGCTCTGCACAACTAGATCGGAAGGGTTTTTGACATGCCCATCCGTTCAGCACAGAGGAGGCCATTCCAAAATTCCCTTGAGGTCTGCAAATCCAGCCCCAAGGATGTTTGACACGGCCTTCCCTCCAGCCCATAAGAAGTCACGCCACGTGCTCCCTCGGTTCTGTAAAACAAAACCCAAGGATTTGTGTTGCATGACCCCCTTCTCAACCCACAGGACGCCGTGCCAAAGCCCCTTGGGCGCTGCAAAGCCAGGCGCAAGGATGTTTGGCATGGCCTTCCCTGCAGCCCAAAGGGGGCCTTGTCAAAATCCCTTGGGCTCTGGAACGCCCAGACCAGGGATTGTTGACATGACCTTCGCTCCTGCCCCAGTGGAGGCCATGTCAAAATGCCCTTGGGCTCTGCAGGGCCAAGCCCAAGGAATTCTGGCATGGCCTTCGCTTCAAGCCAAAGGAGGCCATGCCAAAATGCCTTGGGCTAGGCAGTGCCAAACCCAAGGAGTTTTGACATGGCCTTCATTTCATCAAGAAGGAGGCCATGTCAAGATCCCTCGGGTTCTGCAGAGCCAAACCGAAGGATTGGTGGCATGGCCTTCCCTTCAGCCCAAAGGAGGCCATGCCAAAACCTCGTGGGCTCTGCAGAGCCAAAGCTAAGGAGTTTGGCATGGTCCCCCCCCCCCTGCCCACAGGAGGTCCTGTCAATCTTGCTTGGGTCCTGCAGAGCCAAACCCAAGGTTTTTTGGCATGGCCTTCCCTTCGGCCCAAAGGAGGCCATGTCAACATACCCCTTCGTTTCTGCAAGGCCACGCCTCAATATTTGTTACATGGCCTTCCCTCCGGCCCAAAAGGAGGCCATGCCACATTCCTGAGGTTCTGCAAGGCCAAACCTGAAGATTTGTCACATGGCCTTCCCCTAAGCCCAAAGGAGGCCGTGTCAAACATCCTTGGTTTATGCCAGGTTAAATCCAAGGATTTGTGAGATGGTCCTCCCTTCAAGCCAAAGGAGGCCATGTCACAATCCGCTGGGTCCTGCAGAGCCAATCCGAAGGATGATTGGCATGGCCTTACTCTCTTCTGGCCAAAAGAGGCCATGTCAACAGCCCTTGGGTTCTGCAGGGGCAAACTTGAGGATGTTTGACATGGTCTTCCCCTCAACCTGAAGGATGTGGACGCCCGACATGGGTACCGAAAAAATGGGTACGATGCCCAACAACAAATGTTGTCCCAAACCAACAGCGGCCGCTGTTGGGCAGGCGGCCTCCTGTCTCGAATGGACACAGGCCGCGGCGGCGTGGACAGCGAGGCCTGTTCAAAATGATCAGGAACTGCTGTTGGGCATTGTACCCATTCTTTCGGTACCCATTTCGGGCGTCCAGAAAGGAGGCCATGTCAAAATCCCTTGGGCTCCGCGAGGCCAGACCCTAATGTTTTTTTGGCATGACCCTCACTTGAACCCAAAGAAGGCCAAGCCAGACTCCCTTAGGTCTTGCAGGGCTAAACCCAAGAATGCTTGACATGGCCGTCCTCTCAGCCCAAGGGAAGCCATGTCAAAATGCATTGGGTTCTGCAGAGCCAAGCACAAACTAATGTTAGCATGGCCCTCCCTTCGCCAACAAGGAAGCCACGCAATAATTCCTTGGGTTCTACAGAACCAAACCCAAGAAACATATACTTGAAATTGCCTTCCCTTCAGACAAAAGGAGACCATGTCAAAATTCCTTGGGCTCTGCAGGGCCAAACCCAAGCATTGTTGACACGGCCTCCCCTTCAGCCCAAAGGAGGTCACGTCAAAGTTCGTAGGGCTACGCAGTGCCAAACCTAAAGATGTGTTGGCATGGCCTTCCCTTCATCCAAAAGGGAGCCATGCCAAAATTCGTTAGGTTCTGCAGGGCCCAACCTGAAGATGCTTGGCATGACCTTCCTTTCAGCCCAAAGGAAGCCATGTCAAAATTCTTCGGTTCTGCAGGGCCAACCCCAAGGATTGTTGGCACGACTTTCTGTTAAAATCATTGGGTTCTGCAGGGCCGGACCCAAGAATTTCTGACATGGCCTTCGCTTCGGCCCGAAAGATGCCATGTCAAAACCTCGTGTTCTGCACAGCCAACCCTACATATGTTTGACACGGACTTCCCTTCAGCCCAGAGGAGGTCATGTCAAAATTCATTGGGTTCTGCAGGGGCAAACCCAAGGATTTCTGGCATGGCATTCCCTTCGGCCCAAAGGAGGCCATGTCAGCATGCCTTGGGTTCTGAGGAGCCAAGCCCACGGATTGTTGACATGGCCTTCCCTTCAGCCCAGCGGAGGCCATGGCACACTCCTTCAGTTCGCGGGGCCAAACCCAAAGATTTGTGGCATGGCCTTCCTTCAGCCTAAAGGAGGCCATGCCGCAATCCCTTGGGTTGTGCAGGGCCAAACCCAAGGTGTTGTATGGTATGGCCTTCCCTGCAGCGCGAAAGAAACCATGTCAACATGCCTTGAGTTCTGCAGGGCCAAACCTGAAGATGTTTGGCACGGCCTTCCCTTCAGCCCAAAGGAGGCCAATACAAAGTTGCGCTGTTTCTGCAGGGCCAAACCTAATGAGTTTTGGCATGGCCTTCCCTTCAGCCCGGAGGAGGCCATGTCAAAATGCCTTGGGTTCAGGAGGCCATGTCGGAACGCACTGAGTTCAGCAGAGCCAAAAACGAAGATTGTTGACATGGCCTTCTCTTCGGCCCAACCGGGCCATGCCAACATTCACTGGTTTCTGCAAGGCCAAACCTGCAAATGTTTGGCATGGCCTCCCCTTCAGCCCAAAGGGACCCAGGCCACACTTTCTTGGGTTCTGCAGGGACAACCATAACGATTGCTTGCCCTGGCGTTCCCTTCAATCCGAAGGAGGTCATGACACAACTCCTTGGGTTCTGCAGAGCCAAACCCAAGGATTTGTTGCACGGCCTTCCCTACAGCCCAAAGAAGGCCAAACCAAAATTCATTGGGTTCTGCAGAGCCACACCGAAGGATGGTTGGCATGGACTTCCTTTCCGCCCACAAGGAGACCCTGTCAAAATTCTGGAGTTCTACGGGGCCAAACCCAAGCTTGTTTGAGATGGCCTTCCCTTCAGCCCAGAGGAAGCCATGGCAAAATCCCTTGGGCTCTGCAGAGCCAAACCCAAGGATTTGTTGTACATGGCCTTCCTTTCAGCCCATAGGAGACCATGCCAACATTCATCGGGCTCTGCGGGGCCAAACCTAGGGATGGTTGATCTGGTTTCCATTCAGCCCAAAGGAGGCCATGCAGAACTCCCTAGGGTTCTGCAGCGCTAAACCTAAGGATGTGTGGCATGGCCTTCCCTTCAACCCAAAGAAGGCCATGCCAACATTCCTGAGGTTCCGCAGGGCCAAACCCAAGGACTTGTGATATGGCCCTCCTTCTGCCCCAGAGGAGGCCACGTCGAACATCATGAGGTTCTGCAGGGCCAAACTTGAGGATGTTTGACACGGCCTTCCCTACAGCCCAAAGAAGGCCAAGCCAACATTCATTGTGTTTTGCAGAGCCACACCGAAGGATGATTGGCATGGCCGTTCTTTCGGCCCAAAGGGGGACCCTGTCAAATTCTTGGGTTCTACGGGGCCAAACCCAAGCTTGTTTGAGATGGCCTTCCCGTTCGCCCAGCGGAAACCATGGCAAAATCCATTGGTTTCTGCAGGGCCAAACCCAAGGATTTGTTGTACATGGCTTTCCCTTCGGCCCAAAGGAGGCCATCAGAACTCCCTTGGGTTCTGCAGGGCCAGCCCCAAGGATGTGCTTTACATGGCCTTGCCGCCAGCCCAACGGAGGCCATGTCAAAACCCCCGCGGATCTGCAGGGCTCAAACCTCAGGGTTTTTGACATGCCCTTCCCTTCAGCCCCAAAGGAGGCCATGTCAAAATCCCATCGGATCTGCAGAGCTTAACCCAAGACTGTTTGACCTGGTTTTCCCTTCAGCCCAAACAAAGGAGGCCATGCCAGAATCCCTTGGGTTCTGCAGGGCCAAACCTGAAGAGTTTTGAAACTGCTATCCTTTTTGCCCAAAAAAGAACCGTGCCAACATGCCCTGGGTTCTGAAGAGCGAAACCTAAGGATTCGTGGCATGGCCTTCCCTTCAGCCCAAAGGAGGCGACGTCAAAATTCCTCAAGTTCTGCAGAGCAGACACTAAACTTCCCCACCTAAAACAAAAGGAACAACAACACGGTGCAACGAACGCAGGAAGCGGCAATCAACACAAAACAAAACGCGCAACATAAATCGAGCAACGGAAAACAACGCAAAACGAATCGCTTGGCCCGCCCAATTGCCTGCCAATGTTTGAACCGAACACAAAATGCGCTTTAACCGACAAGCAAAACAAACAACAAAACAAACCTTGTTCAAGTTAAACCGCATTTTCGCCCAGCTCTGTGTCCCAGTCCCCACTGTCCCCATCACTGTCCCACTTTCCCCTCGCCACTGTACCCACCACCACCGCCCCCACAACGGTCCCACTGTCCCCACTGTCCCCACCACTGTCCCGCTGTCCCCCCACCACTGTCCCACTATCCCCTCACCACTGTCCCCACCACCACCGCTCCCACCACTGTCCCACTGTCCCCACTACTGTCCCACTGGCCCCACTTTCCAACCACTGTCCCCACTGTCCCCAACAGTGCCCCCACCACTGTCGCACTGTCCCCACTGTCCCCGCCACTGTACCCCCACGGTCCCACTGTCCACACTGTCCCCACCACTCTCCCCACTGCACCACTGTCCCATTGTCCCACCACCGTCGTCACCACCGCCCTCACCACTGTCCCCACCGCCACCGTCCCCGCCTCTGTCCCACTCTCCCCACTGTCCCCGCCACTTTCCAGCTGTCCCCTTCCCACTGTCCCCACCACCACCGTCCTCAGCATTGTCCCACTGTCCCCACTGTCCTCACCACTTTCCCACTGTCTCGTCGCCCCTGTCCCCACCACCACCGTCCCCACCACTTCCCCACTGTCCCCACTGTCCCCACCACTGTCCCGCTGTCCCCACTGCCCACCACCATCCCCACCACCGGCCCAACCACTGTCCCGACCACAATCCCCCATCTGGAAATGGGGGGGAGGGTGAGTCGTTTGCTGGCGGCGAGGAGGGGGAGGGAGGGGAGGGTTCGAACCTGTAGTGACCCCTCCCTTTTCATGATGTGCCGGGGGGGGAACCTCCAGTGACCCCCCCCGTTTTCGAAGGGGTGTGTGGGGGGTGAAACCCCCGACCCGCCCTGGTTTTCTGCCAGCAGCGGCAAAACACGCGTGTTCATGTGTGTAAAGATGTGTGTATCTATATACATATCATATATATACATATACATATACATAAATATATATATATATATATATATATATATATATGTGCATGTGAGTGTGCGCGTGTGTGTGAGCGTGTGTGTGTGTGCGTGTGTGTGTGTGTGTCCCTGTCTCTCTCTCTCTCTCTCGCGCCGCCCTTCCCTCTTTCAACATCCCTCCTCCCTACATCCAATGCCGAGCACCAATCCCGCCTATCTCTTCACCATTCCATCCCACTCTCCGCTAACGGTCCCCGACCCGTTACTGCCCCTCCCCCCTCCCTCGCCCTCCTCTCTGCTTTCCCCTCCTCTCCTCTCCTCGCTTCCTTCCTCCACCCTCCGCCCTTCTCCTCTATTTCCCCCCCGTCCGCTGATCATCATCCTGATTCTCCTCCCCCTATCTATTCTCCTCCCCTTTCCACCCCCCTTCCTCCTCGCCATTTCCCCATCTCCTTCTCCACATCACATCGTCCCAACTCCTCCGTCCTCCTCTTCCCTCCCGCCCGCTCACACATTCGTCCTCCCCCCCCTCCCTTCTTGTCTCCCCCGCGTCGTCGTCCTCTCCCCTGCCCTCGCTGTCGTAATCAACTTCCTCGCCATCGCTCTCGCCGCTGCCGTCATCGACGTCATCAATGCACGCATTGCTGCCGTCGTCGTTGCAGTCGTCGTCGTCGTCGTCGTCGTCGCCGTCGTCGCCGCCGCCGCCGCCGCCGCCGTCGTCGTCGTCGTCGTCGTCGTCGTCGTCGTCGTCGTCGTCATCGTCGTCGTCGTCGTCGTCGTGGTCGTCGCCATCGTCGTCGTCGTCGTCGTCCTCAACGTCGTCATCGTCGTCGTTTGCATTGCCGTTGTGGAACCCTCTTCGTTGTGACCCCCTGCGGAACCCCAGATCCCTATACCCCATCTGTTCTAAGTCAGTTTTGGAACCATATTCATCTGTGATGGTTCTGGGGCCGCATGCTGGACGAAAAAGCCAATTGAACAAATTGCAACGCCCGGATGTGATCGTGGTCGTCGCTGTCGTCTTCTTCGCCGAGGCATGTCGCCGCCCAAAGAACCCACCGCACGCTGAGCCCCCGGCCGGGCCGCCGCCAGGGCCGCCCCCGCTGAAGGAGCCGCTGCGCTGCGGCGCGGGCGCCCTGCGCAGTCGCTGGGCGGTGGGCCACATCGGCAGCGGTCGAGTCGAGCCGATCTCGTCAAGTTCGAAGCCGAGACGCCTTGGGGTAGCGAAAGATCGCGACGGGAGGCGTTGGGCCGATTTCGATTTCGGCCTGTCAAGGCCCTCGCCGGGCCCGGGGGCCGCCAACAAATCAATTTGGGGTGAACAATCGGTCCCGGAAGAGGGGTCCAGACCTCCAAGGGTGCGCGGAATGGGAAGATCATGACGTCGGGGGTCTGGGAGTGCAGCCTTTAGGAGAAAAAACAAAATCCAAGCATAAAAGTAGACTTCGTGGATCGGCGCTGGACCGCCCTCCCTGTGGCACGCGACAGAGGAGCGGCGACAGATCCAAAAAATCTGCGCGGACCTCCGAAACGAAATCCCACCAGCCCTTGAGGGCTCTTTCTTCCCCTTCGGGGAAAGGCTTATCACTGTTCCTTATTAAGATACGACCCGCTCCCAGGCGACTGGGGACCAACCAGGAACCATGCCGACACCATGACCACCGCCCCCCACCACCCCTGTCACAACAAAACTACAAACCGCACTCTGTCTCCACATTTGGAGCATGCGCGGACAACCCGATGCGCCCCCCCACCATCCCTGTCAAAAATTGATGCAAAGTACACTGGGGGAACGTCTTGAGTCGTGTTTGTGAAGCCCGCGAACACTTCGTATTGTTTTTGACGAGGACGGCGGGGGTGTCATCATATTCCCTGCTGTGCGCAGGACTACCACCCCTACAATACAACATCCACCTCGCGGCTAAATCTGGACCACGCGCGGCCATCCCGCGATCACTGTCAAGTGTTTTTTGACGGGGACGGCGGGGATGGTGGCGCGTGGTCTGCCGTGGGCAGGCCCAGCTGACGCAATCATGGGCATCGGTTCTCGACAAGGCTGGCGGGGGCTGACACGCTTCCCGACGTGTGCTGTCTCGTGCGCAAGCGCACCTGACGCGTTCTGCACGTGCCCCGAACGCGGCGCACCTGGCGCGGTTGGAATGCGCGGAACACCTGGCGCATTCGGAGCACGTGGCGCATCCCCTGGATCAGGACGGGGGCGGTCGAGAGCGGTCAGAGCGTCCATGATTTGATTTGACGCGTCACATCGCAGAGGCTAGGACCAGCAGCGCAATGGGAAAGTCTACAGAGAGAGCGCAACCCCAGAGGGAAGGGCTTCCATAGACTAGCCCGGACGCCACCAATCGAAGCCAAAGAACCACCACAATCCACTGCGCCGGCTAAGTCGGCAAGAGGCGCCAGCTCGTCGAGCGGCACATCCCCTCTCAGATGGTTGGGATGGGTGCCGCTGAAGATTCTGCGTATGTTGATCTTCTTTGCAGGCCTTTCCAAGGCCCTCAATTCTCACGCCATGACTAACACTTCCAAAATCCATACAGCAGAACAGCGTCACTCCATCAGGAGTGCCTGTGACATGATTTTTGTGGCCCTCGGTCTCCTGCACCAGGGCGCTGACCACGGGAAGGAACCGAGGCCGTCCGCAGCAGGCTCGGGCGGGTCGGAGCGAACACGAATCAAACACATGCGGCAAGCCCATTTGCCGCGAATCCATCTGAGATGGTGGCCCCTCACCTCCTCAGGCAAGGGGCGCAACAAGACGGCTCCAAGAGGGCCTTTAGGAGCCCAAGATGACCTCCAAGATGGCTCAAGATAGCCCGAGATGCCTCAAGATGGCTTCCAAGAGGATCCAAGGAGGTCACAACACGGCCCCAAGAGGCCTCCGAGAGAGACATCCAAGGAGGCCTCCAAGAGGCGCAAATCCTTCCAAAACCTGAGGGAAGGAACTGATGTTTGCCTTCTCGTCTTTTCGCGTCCGATGGCCATCCGAGGCCTCAAGATGGCTCCAAGATGGCCCAAGAGGGCCCCAAGAGGCGCCCAAGAGAGCTTCAAGACCCGACGAGCGCCCCAAAGCGCTCCAAGAGCGCCCCAAGAGGCGAGTAAATTGAGGAATCCCCCTTCGTTGATCGATGTCCTCCAAGATGGCCCCAAGAAGCGCCCAGGAGGCCCAAGAGGCCTCAGATCGGCGCAAGATGGCCCCAAGAGGCCCCCAAGAGGCCTCCACGAGGCCCCCAAGAGGACGACAAGCGGCCCCAAGAGGCCCCCCCGAGGCACCCAAGACGCCCAAGAGCCCCCCATGACCGCCAAGAGACCTCCAAGACGTCCCAAGAGGCCGACAAGAAACGCCCAAGAGACATCCCAAGAGGCTCCGAGAGGCATCTAAGAGACCTGTGGCCCTTTTGCTTGCCCTCCTCCTCCTGCTCCTCCTCCCAACTCCTACTCCTCCTCTTCCTCCTCCTCCTCCTCCTCCTCCTCCTCCTCATCCTATTCATCCTCCTTCTCCCCACTCCCTCATCCATCCATCCAGCCTCCTCCTTCTCCTCCTCCCGCCTTCGCACGGATCGGACGTCCCCCTCTTTGCTCCCGCACTTCCCTGATCACCTCAACTCACCTGGACTTCTGGATGGGCTGCTGGGGGTACTTTTAGTCAGCGACCGCAGGCGAGAGCGCCAGCGGCGAGTCGAGTCAGAGCGGGCCGCGCAAAGACGAACTAACCTAAACCGGTGGGTCGGAGCCTTACGCGGCACCTCGGCGGTCAGGCCGGCGAGTGGAGGGGTACTGGCGGCGGCTGCCAGGGAAGCTGCGCTGCTAGAAGTTGCACGCATGCAACGAACTGCAGTCGAGAATGTCATGATTGTCAGTGTGTCTCTCCTTCGAGCCTCGCAGGCGCCTCTGTGCGGCCTCCATGCGGGGACATCTCAACGGCGCGGTGACCACACCGCGTTGTGAGCCATCGGGTATTCGGGGTCACCACCTGGTTTCTGGACTCGGGTCAGTCTCCGTTGGCGACTGGGGGCCTCCAGGGGTCCCATAACCGTGCGGCGACGGACCGCGCAGTGAGGGCGTTGGGGATTCAAGCGGTCCGTCTCCACACGGATTCTGGGCCCCCGACCTGCACAAACCGCCTGCCGCCTTGGCGCCGGAGCTCTGAGGTGGCGCACCCTCGTGCTCGCCAGCGGCAGCGCTGAAGCCGAGAACGTCGAGCGGGCTCCCTGGTTTCCAGAAGGCGAGGAGTGCTGCCCCTTTGTCGGGCAACGAGTCCGAGACATCCGACGTCGTCAAACACATGCTGGAGGTGTTCCGTCGTTTTCTGTTTCTCAAAGCCCTCACCCGGCCTTGGGATTGTCAAAACAAAACAGAACCACGGATGTTTACCGTTTTGCGCTTTCGCTTCCGATGAGCTGTGGGTGTCTCAGGGTGGCCCCAACAGCGCCGAACGGGCGCCCAAGGCGGCACCAACAGGGCCCCAAAAGGTCACTTGCATGGCCCCAGAGGGGTGAAGAAACTACAAGGCCCGCCCCCTCCGTTAACTGATGGCCCCCAACATGGCCTCAAGAGGCTCTCCAACGCTTCTGGAAGGCCCCAAAAGAGCTAACATAACAAAAGCCCCACAGATGGCCAAGAGGCGACCCAAGGGGCCCCACGAGGACTCCAGGACTTCCCAAACGAGCCCCACGAGGGTTCCATGAGGCGATTCAAAGCTCCTGATGGAGGGTGCGTGTGTGTGTGTGGCGACATCAAGCACCGCCCTCTCCATTGATCGATGCTCCCCAAGATGGCCCCAGGAGGCCCTCCATGGCATCCGAAAAAGCCTCCAAGAAGGCCCCAACACTCGAGACTCCGCAAAAGAGCCCCGAGAGGGCAAAACGCATTGCTCCTTCAGTTCTCTGATTGCCTCAACTCGGCTAAACATTGTCTCTGGATGGGTTGGTGGGGATACGCGACGCGTGAAGAAAATATCATCTATACATGTATATATATATATATATAATGGATTCTCGCTCGCTGCGTTTTTTGCTAATCCAATCCAGTGTTTGCAAGTTGTCGGGGCCGGAGTGACACTCCTATTCGACTGGGAAACACATCAACTGTAACGAACCCGCGGCGCGGTTATATTCGCGACCTGCGTATCCATCGCCGCAGGCGCGCAGACCTGCGCCGCCAGGTCAACGTCGGCCTGTGGCACGGAGGGGGAAAGGTAGGAGGGGGGCGAAACCTGGAGCAAAACAGCCCGGACCTACTGGCATCAGCCTCGATCGGTCGGCCCGGCCAGCGCAGCGAGCCGCCAACGCCGCGCGGCGCGCTGGGTCCGCCTCGGCCCCGCCGGCCTGGCCCGCAGGGACGAGGCGCGCGGCGGCGCGGGGCGGCAGCGAAACGGCCCAGCCGGGGCAAGGCCGCGCCGCAAACGCTTGCCACCGCGGGGCCGGCGCGTCGCACCAGAGGCAAGCGACCCAGCCTGGGCCATGTGATGCCACGCGCGGCGCCCAGGCGCCACCCCCGAAGAGGGCCCCGGCAGCCTCGGCGGCGCCGCGCTGCGGCAAGCCCTGCCCCGTAACCCACGGCCGCCCGGGGCGCTGCGGGGGAGGCGGCTGCCCGGCTGGCGCGCCGGCCGCTGCAGCCCGCCGCGCCCTCTGCTGGCCAGGTTGGGCAGCAAACGTCTGTCGCGGCGGCCCGCCTGCCAAGCGCCAGCGCACCCGGGGGCCCGCCAGCCCCGCGCGCTGGCTCGCCGCCAGCACCCGCTGAAACACCAAGGGGCATGCAGCTGCGCCTGCCGCTGCTCGCAGAACGCCCGCGCGGGGAGCTGAGCGTGCTGCGGCTCCGGCCAGTTCGTCGGCGGCCGCGTTGCCAGCGCGATCCTATGGCGCGACGCTCCTGGCCGCCGCAACATTCGCACCGAGGTGCCCTTTCACCCAGCGTGCCGTGATGCAGCCGCTCTGGCAATGCGGCATCAGGAGCTCCCATAAGTCCGCGTGCGTCCACTTACGGGGGAACGCGCCAGCGTGCAGCGCGGCGATCCCGTGGCACACAGACTTGGAATTGGAGATCAGCTCCAGCGCGGCCCCTGCTTCGCTGACCGCGTGAAAAGACGCCGTGCATCCGGCGCGCTGCGCGTTCTGGGCCCTGCCTACCGGCCCACTGCAACGCCGCATCTCGCCGTCGGACCCTGGCAAACGCACCCCCATCCAGCCCAGGCCAGCAGCGGAACGGTTGGATGCTCGCAAGCGCCGTCGCTCCCAGCCCTGACCCGGGCCTGCCCGGGGCCGACGGCCGGCGGCGGCAGCGGGGGCGGCGGCGCCTGCCTCGCACTGACCGTGCTGATCCTGCTCATGCTCCTACCGCTGCTTCCCTGGAGTCTCCTGGGCACGGCGCGGTATCGACCACAGGCAAACTTCAACCTGCATCGCGGCAACTGAAGGAGAGGTTGGGGAGACGTCTGGCGAGGAGGGGCAGAGGATGAGGAGGAGGGCGAGGAGGCGTAAGGCGATGAGCAGGATGGATTGCCAGACTGGGAGAGAAGGGGAGGAGGAGGAGGAGGAGGAGGAGGAGGAGGAGGAGGAGGAGGAGGAGGAGGAGGACTGAGGAGGACTGAGGAGGACTGAGGAGGAAAAGAAGGGCGGAGGAGGACGATAGGAAGTATGCATCGACGACGCAACACGATGGAGGGGGAACGAAAGATGGTGGCGATGGATGGGTGAGGGAGGAGATAGGAAGGAGGAAAATGAAGACGTAGCGACGACGTCGACTGCGGCAACGGCGGAGGCGACCGCAGACGGCGGCCGAGGTCTCCGCATCCGGCGACGGCGACGACAGCGACGTTGTCGAAAGCGGCGACGGCGGCGCAGGCGGCGAAGGTAGCGACGGCGAAACGGGTCACACCGACGGCGACAACTGGGGAAAGAAAACGGTACCCATACTCGTCACTCCTCAGACCTCTCCCAGGATGCGTCCCGAGAAAGATTTCGGGGCGAACCGAGTCGTGTTCGGGAGCGGCAAAGAGGGGGGTGTCCAAGAGGGGGGGGTGCAAATCATGACCGGCGGCATGTGCGCGGCCCAGCGGGGGGGCCAGTAAGAGGAAAAATCATGGCCCGCGCCATGAAATCCACCCCCCCCTGGTCATCACCCCCCTCTTTTCCGGCCCCGATGTTGCTGAGGAAAGATTCGCGCGAGTCGCGGTACCGGTCTCGCCGCGGCAGCGGCGAAGGCGGCGACGGCGGCGGCGGCGACGGGGGCCAGGCGGCCAGCCCCCCCACAGGGAGGGGTCAGGCGCCGCCTGTCTACCCGGGCGGCGCCGAACGGCGCGCCTGGCACCCTCTGGTGGGCGCGGTGTCATCCTCGCCCTGCTCCGCCTCCTCGTCGTCGCCGTCGTCGTCGTCCTCGTCCTCGTCGTGATCTGTCTCGTGGTTGTCGTCGTCGTCGTCGGTGTCATGGTCGACCTCCTCGTCCGTCTCGCCTGTGTCCTCTTCCACGTTGTCGTCGTCGTCGCCCTCCTTCCCAGACCTCTGCTCAACCCGAAACAAATACACCCCACAACGTCATTGAAATGATCGACTCTTGGGAGCCGTTGTCGAAGATTGGGACCGCCAAAATGCCCAGAATGCAAAACTACAAATAGGGAAAAGGTCAAATGAACTGGGGAGGAGGCTTCATCGTCATCCTCGTCCTCGAAATGTCCAGACTGTTAAAGCTACTAGGGGGTGAAGGTCAAATGAATTGAAGGGGCGCTGCATCGTCATCCTCGTGCTCGCCGTCCTCCACCAACTCCAACTCATGAGACCCACAGGGACAATTGTCACATAGGCGGACGGCGTGCTGGCATTCCCGTCAGGGGTGGCCGCAACCAGACGAAGTTGGAGAGGCCCATCCTCAGAAGAAAATTCATCGACATAAACATAGACTTTCGGATGTCCGCGCGGACTTTATGAATCGTGTCCTGTAACATTGTCCTAATCGGCCCCAGGGCCAATGTGCCCCCTGGAAAAAACTTGACGACACAAGAGAGATGACCGGCGCCGTCCAGGAAACAACTAGGCTCTCCTCGCCCTAGCCGTCGTCCTCCTCCACCTCTCAATCGTCCTCATCCCCATCTCCTCACTGTCGGCTTCTCCTCTTCTGGTAAAAAACTACTCTGATATATCATGCGACTGCTGGCTTTGAGCTGTTCCCTGCTCCACCACCTCGTCGTGTTGCTCTTACTTATCATCATACTGTATCTCGTTATCAGTCCCTCATTGCTGTGACTATTTCGCTTCCTGTGAAGCAACACACAGGCCAAGCACAACGCATCGAGATCCAACATCAAGCTTCAATAGGAGTCCCCACCCGCCTCAGCCCGCAGACAATTGGCTGCGACATGTGCGAAGGAAATCCGATTGCCTCTGGAGCTGTAGAAGCATGAGATAAAGGGGAACCAGACGAAGAAGTCGAGACGGGACGATGAAGATGAGGAAGACCAATGCAAACCCAAGACTCACCAACGAGATTGCAATAAAAACCTCCCCAAACTTCCTCTTCATAGGCTCCTACGCGGATTGATTTCCACTGCGGGGGATGCCCCGCTGGAAGACAAGAAGGCCCCACGAGGTCCCCAAGAGGCCCCCTAGAGGCCCCCAAGAGGCCCCCAAGAGGCCCCAAGAGGCCCTCAAGGAGCCCAACGAGGAGCCCAACGACTCACACCAGGACGAGGGGCCCGAACGACTCGCACCACGAAGAGCCCGAACGACTCACACCATAAGGAGGGGCCCGAACGACTCACACCAGGACGAGGCGCCCGAACGACTCACACCACGAGGAGCCCGAACGACTCACACCACGACGCGGGCCCCGAACGACTCACACCACGAGGAGCCCGAACGAGTCACACCAGGACGAGGGGCCCGAACGACTCACACCAGAAGAGCCCGAACGAACTCACACCACGAGGGGCCCGAACGACTCACACCAGGACGAAGAGCCCGAACGACTCACACCACGAGGAGCCCGAACGACTCACACCACGACGCGGGCCTCGAACGACTCACACCACGAGGAGCCCGAACGAGTCACACCAGGAGGAGGGGCCCGAACGACTCACACCAGGATGAGGGGCCCGAACAACTCACACCACTAGAAGCCCGAACGACTCACACCAGGACGAAGAGCCCGAACGACTCACACCACGAAGAGCCCGAACGACTCACACCAGGAAGAAGGGCCCGAACGACTCACACCAGGACGAGAAACCCCAAACGACTCAAATCACGAGGAGCGCTTTCTCTCCCTCCTCCTCCGCCTCGTCCTTCTCCCGCTCCCCCCACAAGGAGGATGTACAAGGAGGCGGGAGGAAGGAGGAACAGGGGAGATATGCGGGGCCAAGCGGACACACGCCTGAAAAACACGACTGTCGGCATGCTTCGCAAGAGTTGCTGCTGTGAGATGGGCTGGTGGGGATACGCGAAGCGTAAAGAATTCCTCTTCATAGGGTCCTACGCGGATTGATTTCCACTGCGGGGGATGCCCCGCTGGAAGACAAGAATTCGAAAGAAATTGTGCCAGAAATCTAGGACTTCAGCCCCACGAATCACCGATACGTTTGCGTTTCAACGATCGTGAATCGTCCCAAAATACCATTCCTGGACTTTCAACACCCCGAATCAATGTGACTGTTACGCCCTGACATTCCGACATCGTGTTGACACACCATCTCTGGGACACTAACCATGCAAACCCTTGAAACCCTTGCGAACTCTTCAGACGATGTGCGCGGCGCTTAAGCGAGAGACACATGGTGAAAATGAACCACCCGCCATCCGTGAAGCTCTTGCACACTCGTAAATACGGATGTGCGCGGCGCTGAGGCGATAACCATATTTTGAAAACGGACCGCCATACATTGACGAAACCCCTCCAATGTTTTGAAAATGAGTGCGCGCGGCGCTAAGGCGAGAACCAAATTCTGAAAACAGACCACCCTCCATCCGTGAAGCTCTTTCAAACTTTTAAGACGAATGTGCGCGGCGCTATGGCGAGCAGCACATGTTGAAAGAGAACCGGCCTCCGTCCATGAAACGCTCGCAAACTTCAAGCTCCAGGATCACAAACGGTGAGAGAATCTAAAGCAAAACGCCCGGCGCGCCCTTCCGACCGGCCTCGGGGTGAGACAGGGGGAGATTTTCAGGGGGGAAAGGAATGGAGGCCCTGGAGGCCAGGAGGTCAAGGAGGGAGGAGAGAAGACAAGCAACAGGATGATGCGAAACCAATAAATAAATACCGTTATCGCTACTGCCCTGATCACAACCGGCGACGCGAGGTGATCTGACATGAATTCGAAGCGAATCCAGCCGTGGCGACGAAAGCCTCCCGAGAGGCCTGAAAAGACGAAAACCAAAAAAGGGTGGTCGTATCGGTACACAGAAGATGAAGTAAGGTGAAGTTGGACAGTCAGTGCAAGTGGAAGTTTACAGGGCTGGAAAACTGGCAGGTGCTGAATCGCGCCCGAAACAGTTAGGATGAGGTCACCAGGGCTGGAACAACTGAAACGAAGCTGGCTAGGGCTGCAAAACGTGGAAGGGCTGACCCCAATCACGCTTCCACTTTCCCAACCACTGGGAGGGGGGACGCGGAGGCTAGACGACGGCAACAGGAGGAGGGTAAAAGACGCGCGCCCCACTTCCCCCCTCCAGAGCCTGCCGCGTGCGCGGCGGAAGGCGGCGCCGACGCCGCGGAGGGAGGCAGCGTCACCTGGACTCCTCCTGGCCTGCTCCTCGTCCGAGTCGTCGTCGACTTCGTCGCGGGGAGGAGGGGGAGGGAGGAGGGAGGTCGAGGAGGAGATCGATCCCCCCTCCTCACGCTCGTCCTGCTGTCGCCGTCTCCTCCTCCTCCTCCTCGTCCTGCCTCTGCCTTCCCTCCCCCCCACCCCCCCTCCTGCTACTGCATGTGCAACTGAAACGTGTTGTTGCATGCGCCCACTTTTCAGCAGACGGGGTGAAACCTGGCTGGAGGCAAGTTTTCTGTAGATCCCGTGAAGATCCCGGCAACTTTCCTTGCCTGGGGAGGGGGCGTGGCGAGGACCGAAAAGGCGGCGGAGGGGAGGGGTGGGTGGGAAATGCCATGCAAACAAGCTTGCCTGAATTTGAATAAGAACGGCCTCACGCGTGATGACCCACCCGGCCGAGGGCCCGTGTCCCCAGGGGGTCCGTCTGGCAAGCTCCAGCCCCCCGGCTGCGGCCATCCCCCCTCCTCTGCTTGCTGCTACTTTCCCCTCCTCCCGCTGCCGACCTTGGAATCTGGTTTTGTGGGTCGTGCGGATTGTTCGGTCAGGCCAGCTCCGGGGTTTGGGTAATCCTTGTCAACCCCACTGAATCACCAAGGCCAGTCGCGAGTACCTTGATAGGACCGATCGCGACATGTTCCCGAAGTGCTGAGCTTAGCCTTTTTCATCACTACGTGATGGCGTAAATCCTTGAGATCCTCCTCCTCCGCCTCCACCCTCTGTGGACCACCAGGGACCTCGAGAACCCTGGGAGACCTCCAGGAATCTCGAGAGACCTCTGGGACCCCTCCTGCTTAACCTCCCTCTCCTGCACCCCAAGTCCCGTTATCCGACCGTCCGGCTGCTCCTCACCCCCCTGCTGCTTCTCCTTTCTCTCCTCATTCTCCTCTCCCCTCTCAATATCCCTGAATCCCTTCCTCCCTCGCGCATCTTGCCGCGGATAACGAAGGAAAGGGCATGCCATAGATTGCCCCAAAGATCGCTGCAACACTCTGTTTACCATATTTGACCTTGACGCTGAGAATGAGCGGTGTGTTTCTGGAACCGGGCATGACGGAAATGGGTCTTGAGGGAAACGTGTCCTGGACTCTGGGGCCTTCTCCAATGACCAACTCTTCGGCCCGAATGGTTTCAGATGGCCTCTGGGCCCAGAAAGGGACTGGGAGCCCCGCACCGGCGAGCAACAATTTCAGCACCAGTTTCCCTCAAAGCCGTTTGCTCGTTGGCGATGGCCTCACCGAGCCCAAGCCTAGCACACGGGCGACGACGGGCCTGGTGCCGCAATGCCATCGGGGGCGGCGCTCGTGCCGCTGCTCTCGCTCCAGGCACACGCGTGCGGCGTCCGCTGGCGCGGCGCCCACGGCCCACCGCGAGGGTGTCGAGGAGGCCAGCACCCGCTCCTCCTCCTCCTCCTCCTCCTCTCCTCCTCCTCCTCCTCCTCCTCCTCCTCCTCCTCCTCCTCCTCCTCCTCCTCGTCGCGCCGCCTCTCCACTTCTCTGCGTCCTCTCCCTCTTCCGCATCCCTCCTCCTCATCCGCCGTTCGCCTCCCGGGCAGGGGGGGGGGGCGGAGGAGAGGGGTCGGAGGGAGGGAGAGCGGGGGGCGGCGGAGCACAGGAGGGGGGAGGGGAGCCGAAAAGAGGGAAAGCAGATGGGGAGCCGAACCTGCGAGTCGAATCTGTATGAGTCGAGCGAGGGGGGGAGTGCCCCTCAGTTTTGGACACCCGAAATGGGTACCGAAAGAATGGGTACAAACCCAACAACAAATGTTGTCCCAAACCAACAGCGGCCGCTGTTGGGCAGGCGGCCCTCTGTCTCGAATGGACACAGGCCGCGGCGGCGCGGACAGCGAATCCTGTTCAGAATGAACAGGAACTGCTGTTGGACATCGTACCCGCCATTCTTTCCGCGCCCCCCATCTCGGGCGTCCAGATCGGTGTGGGAGGGGGGGGGGTTGTCCCCTTCCGCAGAGAAGACACACTATACAGAACCACCTTGCCCTCCCGGTGCCCCTCCCCGTCGCGAGGGGAGGGGAGCAGGGGGAGGGCGAATGGGGGGAAGGAGGAGGAGAGGCTCCTGGGTGGCGTGGGCTATCAGGCCCCAACTGGCGATGAATTGGCAATTGGGGGTCGATGCGTTCCTCGGCCTATCCCCCCCCTGATCGTTGCCCCTCTGACGGAAGAGAGGGTCGCAGAATGGGGCGACCGGGGGAAGCCCAAGGGCCCCAGACGGACGCCACAAGTAGGGACACCAATAGATTCTGCGACTACTCCCCGGACATCTCCCGGGGTACGTCCTGGCCCAACAGGCGAAACCGAAGGAAAAGTAGCGGTATGGGTGTCTCTCCTCAGAGAACAACATAACTGAAAATCACGAGCGGGGTCCCGTAGGCCCTGTTTGTCTGCGGCATTTCGAGCCTGATCTAAACGTGATGGCCCAGGGCCCAAAACATGGCGAACCTGGTGTGAAGCAACCGCAACGCGGGATCTCGGGAGACGTCCCAGAGATCCCGACCCCGTCTCTAGGGCAAGTTTTCGCCCAGGGCTAATTTTGGCCAGTCCCAGGGCCCAGTGAGGGCCCCTGGAGGCCGAAATCAGCCGAAGACCTCCTGTCATATGTTGTGCCATGACCCGAGAGCGTATTGGTCGGGAGAGCGGGGGGAACTAGAAACAATAACTGCACAAACATAACCCCACCAGCCCGCTTCAAAAACCTCTTCCCAAAAACCTGTTTTTTCAGGAGGTTGACGTCTCCCCCCTGATTGGTATTCTTTTTGGGGGGGGCGCGAGGCGTTCGAGCGTCCAAGATGGCCCACGATGGCCCCAGCCGACGATGGATAAAGTTAGCTTCCGATATACCTCCGAGAGGCCCGACGAGGGCCACAAGATGGCTCCGCGTGTTCTCAGAGCCCCCTCAGGACCTCACTAGTAGGCCGAAGCCCGTCAAAATCCAAAAAGAAATTACGGATGTTGGCCTTCGCCTTTCCGGTTCCGATGCGCGATTGAAGGCTCAAGATGGCCCCCAGATGAGATGGCCCAAGAGTGGCCCAAGAGAGGCCTCCCAGATGGCCCCAAGAGCGTCCAAGAGCGCCCGAAGGGGGCCCCAAGATGTGACTTCGATGGCCCCAGGGGCGGAGGCAAGTTTAAGCCCCCATCCCTTTGAATCGATGTCCTCCAAGACAATCCCCTAGAGGCCCCCAAGGGAGCCCCGAGAGGGTCCCAAGATCCCCTCAAAGAGCTCCAAGAAGGGCTCCCCACAAGAGGGGCCCCCCAAGACCATCCAGGACCCTAAGATATTCCCCACAAGAGTCCCGAAGACTCCAAGGGTCGAGTTTGAGGGTTCTGTCCTCGCCCTCACTGTCCTCCTCCTCATCCTCGTCCTCGTCGTCCTTGCCCTCATCGCCGTCCATTTCCTTTCCCTCCTCTTCCTCGTCGTCGTGGCCGAAGTCGTCGTCGTCGTCGTCGTCGTCGTCGTCACCGTCGCCGTCGTCGTCGTCGTCGTCGTCGTCGTCGTCGTCGTCGTCGTTATCCTCGTCGTCCTCCTCCTCCTCCTCCTTCCCTCGCCCCCCTCCCCCCCCGAGCCACAGGGATGGTCCGAAGAGGCCTTCCACTGCCACCCCCTTGCTCCCAAAGATTTCTCTGTTCATCCTGGTTGCCCGCTTTGTTTCACTACACGTGTCTCTTCATCACTTTTCCGGTCAACTCTCATGGGCAGGATTTGTGAATTGTCTGGTGACGCGCAAATTTCTTGGAGGTCCGCGCGGGTTTCTTGGATCGGCGCTGGAGCCCCCCTCCCTGGCGCGCGGAGCGCGCCAGGGTCGGCGCCAAAGGCACCGCCATGGCCGCCATGGGGGCCCAACACCAACCTCATAAGCCCGTGCAGACCTCGAAGACATGATGTCTATGCAAAATATTGCTCTTCGGGAAACGGCCGGCCCCCGCCGCCTGCGCTGGCGTCTGCTGCCACGGCGGCTGCTGCTGCTGCTGCTGCTGCTGCTGCTGCTGCTGCGGCGGCCAATGCGTCGGCGGCAGCTCCCGCTGCTGCGGCGGCTGCCTCAGCGCGTGCGTATCATGTGGGGGTAACAACACCGAGACATGCAACGTCCTGAAAATTCGGGACAGATCTGTGTCGTTGAAATCGTCCTCTGGGGGCCCTCACCGAGCCCCGGGATCGTCAAACAAAACTGCGTTGGCACACCTTGTGGTGACCTCGGAATCCCAAGAATACCTCACCGTACGGTCCGTCACCGCACGATCTTGGGACCGTGGAAGCCCCAGTCGCCCGAGCCGTCGTGGGAGAACGGCCCGAGTCCCAAAACCGTGCGGAGACCCCGAATTCCCACTGACTCGCCACACGGTCAACTCCACGTACCATGCGGGAGCCATCAGATGATGCGCCGCTCCTCCTGAACGGGGGCAGAAAGCTTTCGCAAGCCCTGGCGGGCCGGGGGGAATCCCGTTGCAGGATCAGTCAGCATCGGGCTGGGAGATCGGATCGGCTCGGAACGTGCAACGGGTCGGGTCGTATCGGCACGGAGTCGAAGCGAATCAGATGGGCCTCGCCAGCATGCACCACAACGCCATGCAGGCATCGGGTCGCATCGGATCGTTGGACCATCGGAATCGAACCAGATCGGCTGGAATCGATGGTAAATCGGATGCATCGGATCGAGTTGCTCCCTGGATTGCGGGCTGATAAGGTCCGAGGAATGCGACACCAACACTGTTTCCAATGCTCGCCCGTTCGTAGCAACAGGCCGCTCGTCGAGGGCTTGAGGAAAAAGACGGCGTGGTCGCAGACTGAGCCATTCTACGTGCGTGGCCCATCCAGACGACGAGGTGGTGAGGAGGAACAGCAGGGTGGAACTGGCTCAGGGGGACAAAACGTCGGCCCCAGAGGCCGAACGGTGCCAAAACCCTCCGCGAAGAGTTCTCACGACTCGAAGCTGTCTGGGCCCAAGCCCGCCACTGCCGTTGCCCTGCAGTGGGTCGGGGGCCAGCGGCCACACAGAGGGCCAGCGGCGGCCTGAAAGGCAGTGGTCGCGGCGCCGTTCCGCCGTGCAGTGCGGCGAACGCCCGGGGTGCGCGTCGGAGTGTGGCAGATCGTGTGGGCCCTCGAGGCTGGAGGGTCTCGAGGTCTTCAGGATTCGAAGCTTCCGAGGTGCTCGAGGTTTCCGAAATCTTAGGAGTAGCAGGGGCTTCGCTGTTTTCGGTGATCAAAGTGTTTGAGGATCGAGTTTTTCGATGTTCGATGTTTGCGATGTCCGAGGTGTTCCAGGTTTCCAAGGTTCGGGCGAGCAGCAGGACGAGGAGGATGAGTGGCGGCTAGCGAAGGGGGAAGCCTCCATGCCTGTCGGGGAAGCAGACCGCAGACGAGCCGGAGGCGGCGGCGGGAGACAATAGCGAAAAGTGTGAGGAGCCACCTCCTTGGAAATCTGGAAAAGAACGATGTAGAGATATTCAGCCGCATTAAAACACGACTGAACCAGATCAGGCAAAATAAAGCCAGGGAGTCGGCTGTACCAGGCCTGATTAGTCGGGATCAAACGAAAGCAAGCGGGGTTGTGACGGATTGGGCAGGCTTTCGACCACGAACGAACCAGCGCCGATGCTGAATTCAACCTCCCAGGAGTTGTACACATGGCTTGTAACACATAGCCTGCACCACGCACGTTGCATCACATAGCTTGCACCACGTTGCCTGTACCCCATAGTTTGCAGTTCGTAGCTTGCACCAGTTAGCTATAAACAAGTTGCTTGCACATCCACAGTGAAACAAACTCATTATTTTGTGTCCACGCTGGCCAGCATCTGCTCATACTGGGTTTTCCAATTTGAGTCTCGCTATCTCTCCATGTCTCTCTTTCCCTCGCTGTCCCCTCTCTTGTGCATTGCAATCCACGGCCCACGGGCCTGCACGAGGGCGCGGCCTGGAGCTAGACTCACGGCTGATCTACGACTTTTGTCACGAAAGAGTCCGAACCTGGTCCTCAAGTCCTGAGTGTCTCTGACTGCTGTTCTCTTCGAGGGGAGGAGGATGAGAGATAATCGCACTGGCGGCGAACAAAACAGAAAACGATCTGGGACGACGCGGCCCTTTCCGCTTTCGCAGCGGCTGGCCTCCCTGATGGATCGCTCTAAACATGCAACGTTGGATGACTTCCAGGAGGGGGGGAAACACAAGTCAGATGTCCAACTCCTGGGGCGTCCACGGCCTCCTGGGGCCCGACCCCGGAAGTCACCACCCTTCGCTGCGGGCCATGGTTATATCCACATCCAGTGCGTGTTGGAATTTTGGACTCTCTTCCCCAGAAACCGGAGGCGCACTGGACATGGATAAAAACCTGGCCCGAAAAGGCTAGATGCTTATCCATATCCAGTGCGCCTCGGCCTTGTGACACCCCTTCCCCAAAAGTCCAAGACGCTCTGGATATGGACATAAAGATTGCCCGCATTCGCGACCATCGTCGCGCACTCGCGCCCCACCCCCGCCCCCCCGGGACAAGGGCGGCCGCCCTGGCCCAGGGCGGCCGCCCTGACCCCCCCCCCCGAGGGAGTCCCTCCTCCCCACCCCGCCGCGGCGCCGGCGCCGACGCCGACGGCGACCCGCGGCGCCCGCCCAGTCACTGGCCGCCGGCAGCTCGCGGAGGCCCGCCGCCCCCCGTCGTACGTCGCTCGCGGCCCGCCGCGGCGGCCGCCGCCGCCGAGGAGGAGCCGAGGAGGAGGACGAGGCTCTCGAAAGGAGGAGGAGGAGGAGGACGAGGACGAGGAGGAGGAGGAGGAGGAGGAGGAGGAGGAGGAGGCCCTGGCACAGACCGCGACGTGCGGTCACGTCTGCGCCCCGGCGGGCGACCAGGGCCCCCAGCCCGCTCGGGCGCCTCGTCGCGATCGGGCGCCGCGTCTTCCGCTCGCGCCGCGTCGTTCAACGGCCGCCCGCGGCTGCCGATGGGAGAGAGGGCAGATTGAAATAATTTCTTGTTGGTTTTTCCTTTTGAGATTTGTTTTACAGAGACGTGGTTTGACGAGTCGGTGTTACAGCCGTGGTGCGATTTAGGCTGTGGCGTTGTAAACTTCGCACGGGATTCGTTTTTTGTTCATTTCCGTTTCGTTATTTTTTTTCTTACCGCGCAGGTGGGGGAGCGTGAGGAGGCAGGAGGAGGACGAGGCAATTTAGCACCCGATGCCGTTTGCGCGAGGCGGGCTCTATCCATGGCCCAGGTCGCCGAACCTCGCGCGCCGTGGGCCCCCGGGGCGCGACGCGCGGTTGCCTTCGCGCCTTCGCGCTGTCGCTGACACGGCCAGCTTGGCGGCCCTGACCGCGACAAGCGAAGCGCGATAATCTTCGCGCCCCTGCTGGCGACCTCGATGACCACCGCCTGGGGGATCGATCTTCGGGCACCGAATGGGAAGCTGGGCGAGAGCTGCTAAAACCGTGGCTGCTAAAACGGCCCTCCCGGAAGGAAAAAACAACTTCCCGGAATGAGGCGCGGCACGCGAAACAGTCAACGGACTTCGTCCCGGAAGGACGAAAACAACTTCCCGGAGGTCGATTTTAGCAGCCACGGATTTAGCAGCCCTCGCCCGGCTTCCGACCGAAGCAGGCGGCTGATATGGATAGGTGTGCAGATCCGCCACTGTGCCTGCACGGAGCGGGCGTGATAGATCGCTTGTCTGCTGTTTGGCAAATGTTTCGCAGGCTGTCTTAGGCCGCCCCCCCTCATCATGTGCACCTCATCATGCGCACCCGCCAAAAGCCGCCTCCCCTGAACTTGTTTTTGTCGGTGTTCTTTTCGGCCCCAAGAAAGCCAACATGGCCTCCAAGGCGGCTTAAAAGGCAGTCACAATGACACCAAGACAGCCCAACGTCACCCAGGACAGCTCAAGAGACTCCTTGGGCGGCTTCATGACAGCTCAAAAAGCCCCCGACAAGGCCCAAGACGGCTTCAAGAGGCGTTCCTATAGAATCCAAGGAAACGCAAACCAGCGAGTCCCTGTTACTTTTTGGCGGATGTCGAGATTCTTGCCTGTTTGGGTTTCTGGCCGCCCAAGAGGCTTCCAGGAGGCCTCCAAGATAGCGCCAAAAAACCCAAGAAGGGCCCAAGACGACCCCAGAAGACCAACAAATCGCCCAAGAGGCTCCCAAAAGGGCCCCGAAACGGCACTAAAGCGCCACACGGGGACACCAAGATGGTCCGAAGAGGCTCCCTAAGACGGCCTCTGCAGGCGTCAAACGGGCCAAGTCCCTTCAGACGGCCCAGGAGGCCCCAAGAACTCCAAGAAACCTTTTCCTCCTCGTCCTCAATTTCACATCCGCCTCCTCCTCTTCCTCCTCCTCCTCCTCCTCCTCGTGCTCTCCTTGTCCTCCTCCTGCGCCTCCTGCACAACGTCGCGCGGACGAGCACAAAGTCCGGATCAGGACCCTCCCCAATTCAGACGAATCGTTCGCTGCGTTGCCGCGGGGAATACCATCGACAACAAATCGACCACGCGGACCAAAACAGAGGTCGAAATCACGGCCCGCCCCAATTTCGACAGCTCGTCGGAATTGCGCCGGCCTTACGGGCATCTTGATTCCTGCTGCGTTTTTGCACTAGGCGCGGTGGCGGGGTTTGCCGTGGAAAACTGGGTACAGTTGTACGCATGCGTACATGCATACATACATACATACATACATACATACATACATGCATGCATGCATGCATGCATGCATGCATACATACATACATACATACATACATACATGCATGCATGCATGCATGCATGCATGCATGCATGCATACATACATACATACATACATACATACAAACACACATACATACATACATACATACATACATAATTGCTGGCTTACTTATTTACTTACCTACATACACACATACATACATACACATATACATGCATACATACATACATACATCCATACATACATGCATACATACATACATACAAACATACATACATGTGTACATAATACACACATACATACATGCATGCATGCATACATGCATACATACATGCATGCATGCATACATACATGCATTTATACATACCTA